CCCGCGGCTCGTTGATGCGACTCCCGTTGTCACTCCAGCGTCGTGATTGAATTCAGCTGGCCGAATGTACGGCAGCGAGTGCACGAGCACGATTCCGAGGTGAGAGAAAAAAAGAGAGACAGAGAGAATTCCATTGCATTTGGCGGACGCGATAAAGAGCGAGCCCGCCACCTCCTTTTCCACCTCCTCTTCATCCTGCTCCTCCTCTGCCACCGACCCTCATGAATTTTCGTGGCCGATGCTTATCGCCGCGTAATTATCGAAGAACGAAACGGAGAAGCGTGTCCGCCGCACTCTTGGCCGCGAGGGAGTGCAATCGACGGAGACGATTAGACGAATATGTGGTCGTAGTTCGCGCGCGCTGTCCACTGTTCGCGTCCGTTCGAAACGACATCGTTTTCCTCACCGTTCCCGGAACACGCGAGCGGAACGCATTGCTCGTGCACGTGCGATCATCCCGTAAACAAGCCGGTCTTGTTCCACCTTTCCCATACGTGCAGACGAACGAGCGATCGGAAAAAACGGCAGGAAAGTGAATTCAGTGGGGCCCGAATTATCGACACGCGAATTCTTTTCATGTTCGCGAACGCGCGAAACGTAAAACCCATTCTGCATTTGCGTAAACGTAGTATAGTACGGAAAGAACGATTTTGTTGAAGCATCTAAAATTTTAGCTAGATAAGGTAAATGTGTCAGTTAGCGGGCATTATCCTATTATTGGATAAAATAACAAAAATATTAAATATTGAGCTTTTAATAATACGTACGATCTTAAATAAATTCGTCTTATTAAGCTTTTATAAATAAATTTATTTAGAATTCTACATATCATTAAAAATTCTATTATTTCGTCCAATAATTGAGTTTGGTCGTGTCCATTACCTGTTAATTGATATATCTATTTTTCAGAGCTGAAAATAATTTTGTTGGACCATATAAACAATTACATGGAAAAATCAAGCATGATGAACAATACTGAAAATTTTGCTATTTTAGTAATCAAATTTGAGCGTCACATAATTATTTTAGTGATCCAGCAAAATTATTTTTAGATCTGTATCTAGCTACAAATTTTTAGATATCTGTTTAATAAAATCATCCTTTTCGTGTAGTTGTACAGGATTGTCACAAAAAATTCCTCATCCTAAAATTTCTTAACTTTTCCTTGATTTACAAACAAAATTTTTCGTGACTTTTTTTCCTGATGCTTTCAATATTTTGAAATTTTTTGTATTTTTATTCTGATTTAGAAATCACCTCAAATATTTTGTTGAAACAGCAATTTAACGTAGCAATGTTAATTAACATTGCTAAGTGCTAACACTGCTTATATTTAATTATTAAGTTGGTAATATTCCAAAACAATATAGGTGTGATGTACAAATATTAAACTTTTTTAAAGCTAAAAATGTTAATTTTCCAAAAAATTTTTCCCGTCTTTTTTCCCAGATGTCCTTGATTATTTCCAATTTCCCTAACAATTCTGTGATTTCCAGTTTTACGGCGGCCCTATTGTAAGAATTGATCGATTACAAAGTTGAATATTCTCTTCATGACAGATTGTGATTCATCAATTCTTATAACTACAACCATTTAACAACTATGCTTATGCAATTTTAGAATGGGTTAAAAAAATAGCTGGACGCTAAACGTGTGCGTGACTCGGTGCGCGTGTGGCGTATTTAATAGTGAATTCGGTCACTTGATCAGTGTACATTAATAGCTGCGTTATATAAAGTACTTAATGCAGCAGCATAATATAATCAACTTGGACAATGAAATGTAATACATATATCTATACTCTATTAAATAATGTGACGATATCATTATCGGGTATTTTATCGTTTCAAATATTCATATGCTTTTACATTTAACTTTGCTAATTTTACGTATAGCTTTTACTATATACTATTGTAATGCGAACTTGCTATACAAAATTCGGTAGTACACTGAAAAAAATTACTAAATTTTAATAAATATTCGTTTAAATAGTACTAACTTATATTTATTAAATATAAACATATATACTTACTTGGTACATTTAGAACCGTTTATTTAAGTATCATTTTTTATTGAGTAAATATTTATTTATTGTAAGTGAATATGTAGTTAGTACCATTCAAACAAATATTTATTGAAATATTTATAAATTTTTTTCAGAGTGTGTGTGTGTAAAGTGGGCCAAACTTTGCCTTCGTTTTGTCGACGAGGTTTTACGAATCGGGTTTCTGAATACTGCTCGCGGTTGATTTCGCATTTTTTTTTTGTCGCTATTATGCCGCGTCGCGGCAACGTGCGACAATCACCGGTATTTGGTCGCGGTGAAGAAACGGCGTTTTTCGCCAGCACAAGCTACGACGAGCCATGGCGAGGCCTCATCTAGCGGATCATATTTCGCGGAAGGTGAGACGAATCGACTCCTGTTTCTGTGCCGCCCGTTGATTTAATTCCGATCGATCGTTTCGTTGCGCTCGTGTCTTATCGCGCTCCCGTTTATCGCCGCAGAGAAGAAAGAAAAAAAAATTATCCCGAGGTTATACCCTGTAGTTATTTTATTTAATTGGACACACCGCCAATTCTTATCGCGCGATTACACAAAGAAATTTTTAATAAGTACGGGGAGACTCAGACTTGTGCGAGTTTTCATTTAATCGTGACGTAATTAATCGTGTAACGTTTAATTACTGTGAAGTTTTGCGCTTTGGACATTCGGTGAAAAATAAAACGTTGAATATTTATTTTTTTCCTGTGTCACCCTTTGAACTTTGAAGTTTCATTGTTATTCCAATCGAGGAAAAGTTCATTCATCGTATAAAATATCGAGTAAATTTACGAAATTCTATCACATTGTTTTTGTAATATGTTGTTTTTGAGTAAAGAACATATAATGATCAATGTGAGCTATTTAACTCTCCGTGATTCAACAGGAGCTTTAAATATCCAGACGAATTTTCAATTTTCAATTATTCTGCTTCAAATTCGGACACGTACAAAAAATGAAAAACACTTCAGGTCATATCATTCGTATTCGTGACTGCTAAAAAAGTATACCAGAATTTTTTCAGTTTTTTCTAGAATCTAAAAATCCTTTGGAAAAAAAAACAATCGAGCAACCCCCTCCCCCCAGTGACCCAGTTAGATTAGAAAAATAGTGAAAAAAACATTAACCATGGATAATTAAGGAGAATAAAGAAGTTAACAATTTGTTATCATGTTAATTTATTATCATGTTAAAAAATTAACTCTTAGTACACTCGATTGGATTCATTCGTGTTCTGCACATTTTTTTTCTTCGAAAAAGTAGGAGCATCAAATAATTAGTTATAGTATTTATATACAATTTTTTTTTAAATACGCAACCTTACAAATACTTTCTAAAGATATATATATAAGAATTATTTAATAATTTTTGTATATTTGTTAAAATTAATCCCGGACACGAATGACCCATCGTGTGTACCAAGAGGGTCAATAATAATAAATTAATAAAAAGTGTAATATGTACATATTATTTTATATTATTAATTTTTTAACATGAGTAAATGTATTACTAACTTTTAAACATACTGTAAATGTATTGTTAACTATTTTTATTCCTAACTATTCCATATTATTGACCGTTATTTTCCTCATGTGCGTTTGCATGTATTGCACTTGATTAACGATTATTTATAAAAATAATTTATTGTTGTCTTGATAACAATAAATAATACTTATAAATAACTGTTTTTCCGATAAAATGTCTTGTCGACACCTTTACAATCCCAATCGCGTTTCTCGCTCCGCCGTATATTGTGCATTGCGCCAATCTGCATAAATGATCTTTTGTCTTTTCAAGTTCCTGCGCTTTCTAGGATTAAGGATGTCGAAGCGGCTGAGTTTCTACTGTCTGGTAGCTCTGGCGTCCGTCTGCATCTTCTTCCTAGCATTTAACCAGCGCTACAGCAGCTACCTTGAGCATCGACTGCAGCCGGTGATATCGGTCAGTAAAAATTCGGAGGTGGGGATTGCTCTAAATTGAGTCACGCCAAACACGCTCTTTCTGACGGTAAAAGTCTAACTTTTGCACCTAACTCTCTCTCTTCTCTTTATCCATTTTTCTTGAACATTAAACGTGAAGCGACGCACAAGGAACCGACACGCGACTTCTCTTTCTCCCTGTTTCCATCTCTTTTCGTCCTTTTTCCCTTTCATGCATCGTTTTGATATCATTTACAAAATAAACCTGTTTTTTTTAGCTGAATTTTGTGCACCATTCGTCTTTCCTCTTTTTTTTTTCTCTAACGTGAAGAAAAGTAAGAGGAAAGCTAAAAGAAGTTCAGATGAAAAAATAGATTAATATCAAAGGACTCTAATAGCAAGCTATGTTATTTTGTCGTTATCTTGATGTTAAAGATCATCAGTTTGACGTCAGTTTGCTACCAGGAGAACAATTGTGGTCGCTTTAAAACATTTTGTAAATTTTAACATTTTCTATCAGAGACATCAATTTATTGGAAATCAGATCGACGTAAGTTCATGGCTTGTTTTAATTCACCTTCTTATTTAATTCAACTTATATAATAGTTAATGTTTAATAATTCGTATGAAATTTGATATCAAAAAAGACACCTGTAATATGATTAATTATCGAAGCCAGGGAGTCAATCATGTAACTTTCTAAGGTGGAAATGTATGTATGTACACACATACATACAAAAACTTTTCACTTTTCACATTTCCGCTCAAAAGAAAGTTACATAATCGATACCTAGCATGTTTGCGCGTAGACTGACACTTTTTTTATCATTTACTCTCACTCTTAATAATACGATAGATTCACAATATAAGTAATTTCGCTGCTCGCACTTGCATTCTTTGAAAACATTAACACGCTATCTAGAGAAAGAGGGAGAAAGATCATTATCTTATATCACGATTATTCCATCAGCGATATATTCGTGTACACAACGCGAGACGCACAATAGAAACGCTAAAACGTCGATGCTTTTTTCTCTTCCTCGATATAGGATGTTGAGATAAGGCCGCGGACCACCAAAATCCAAGAGCCGGTAACGGTAAGCCAGGTATGCACGTATCGATCTGAATGCGAAAATGCTACCACTTGTTATTAATGACTGTTTGCTGATAGAATGCCATTTATCGTTAGAGTGCCTTATCTTATCACAGTATGCATAAATAAATAGTCACGCCTCCTTCTTACAGATGTAACTTCTTTTTTCTATTACCAATTTTTTTTCTATGTTACTAATTCTAACGTATAGTAAAACGTATATTTTTGTTATTTTTTAAAACTTATTTATATTTAAAAAATATTATTAACGACACACACACACACGTTGCTTTTAACCGATAGAAGCAAATAAAATAGAATAAGTAAAAAAACAGAAGTACTTTATATTTTTAATAAAGAAAATTAATTCGCGTTTTAATTTAAAACTTTATCTTCCTTTATTGCATGATGCCGCGTACTAAGATTTACTTATTGAATTATGTTATTATTTTGTAACGCATTTGTAACTATTCATTATATATATATTTTTACTTGTGTTAGCTTTTTACTGACGCATTTTCCTTGTTTCTGTATTATGAATTTAAATGTCTACTTTGCTTGTTTATGAACGATAATTATCATCTTTATTACATTTTATATTCCATTTTTTAAATATAAAAACATGAAGATATAAATACTGTTTTAAAATAAACTAACACTCGTATAAATCATATAACTTTTAAATTTGTCTTTGTAAAACTAATGAAGCGATTGAACGGCTTGCTGTAGAAATTTGCTTTTATGTGATTAAATCTCGAAATGTGAATTTATTTGTTTATTCTTGTTTAGGATGTTATCGCATACCTGTTACGAAGATCTAATAACTTTTAATACTGCATTTATGTAATGTTGCTAACAAATAGAGAGTAAATTTTCTATTTAGTAATTGGCCCTAATCTGCTTTTTAGGCGTATATTACGGGATCCACGGACAACGCCACGATCACCGAAATTCAAGAGGTGGTTGATCAACAAAGGAGGGCGATTAAAAGAGAAATGGAAAATTATGAATATCCAAACGGAAAATATGGGATAAATGTGAGGTAAATTATACGCACCAGAACATAACTTCGTATCGTTGAAAATTGAAACGTTTAACCATTATCTGCTTATAGCAAACTTGAAGATTTAGTGATGGAGAAGGGTGGTAGACCTATGAGAAGCATAATTCTGACGAGTTGGAGAAGTGGCAGCACGTTCCTCGGTGATGTGGTAAACGCACATCCGGGCAATTTTTATCATTACGAACCGTTGCTCGACTATGGAATTGTGCAAATCCGAGGGTCGCCGCTCGCCGAAGAATCCTTGACAAGGATACTCTCTCTGTTAAATTGTGAATACAAGGAGCTTGGTATATAATTTCACATATCTTTAAATTTCTATTCGCTTGAAGGCGCATCGTTTAATGATTGCGTACAATTGTAATTATCGTAATAGATCGGTACCTGGATTATGGGAAGACTCATCATTGGGTATTTAATCATAATACGCATTTATGGCGGCAATGCCAAGCACATAAACGCATTTGCTGGGATCCGCGTTTCGTCTCCAAGTTTTGCCGACTCTTTCCGTTCCAATCGATGAAGCTTGTGCGGTTGAGGTTGCATGCGGTAGAGAGTCTTTTGGCCGAAGAAGAGTAAGAAATTATATGACAATCATGAGAAGACATTTTTTAAATTTAATTTAAACTTATATAATTTATATTCTTTTGAACCATAAAAATGTGTCTATTTGTATTGCAGTCTAGGTGTACGACTAGTTCTACTCATTCGTGATCCGAGAGGCATTCTGCAATCCAGAAAGCATAGGGAATGGTGTCCTGCTAAACCCGATTGCTCCGATCCAACTTTGGTTTGCGGAGACATGGTATCGGACTTCAACGCGGCAGTAGAACTGTCGAAAAAATATCCCCGTTCTTTCAGGTATAGCACTGCATATATCATTAAAAAATTTTCCGAATCATATATTCGGTATTTACAAAAATTTATCTTACACGCAACTTTCAAACGACTTGTTAAAATCATCACCTACTTTATTAGTGATAATTTTATTGATACGAAAGACTCAAATTCAATCTTTGTGTGATAAACAGAGTAGTGCGTTACGAGGATCTGTCTGTGGATCCCTACAAGCACGTGCAGGAGCTTTACAATTTTTACGGTTTGAACTTTCACGTAAACGTGAAGAAATTCCTGGACACGCACACGAAGAATGATGTGGGCGGTGTGTCAAGCACTTTCCGGAATTCCAAAGTCGCGCCATTTCACTGGAGGACCGACTTAGACTTCGAAGAGGTCCGTGAAATACAGAAGGTATGCGCGACCGCTATGCGATTGTGGGGATATGTGATGGCCTTAAATTCCACTCACCAAAAAGACTTCGACCCTATCACAAATTACCGACTCCAGTTGTGACAACTGGCAGACGACATGCTCAATGTAGATATGATGTATAGTATATCGGTATAACGAACGGCAGCGGTCAAAAATGCCGTAGTTCATATAAATATTCTATAAAAGGTGCTAGCGGTCCCTCAGGAAGATAGCCATGTAATGGAAATGAATGTTGATTCATTCGACAGAAAAATTCGGGAATTTTTAGCTTTGGAACGCTAAGGTTTATCGACAAGAAGTTTCTACTTCTTTGAAAGGACGGAAACAAGATACGTTCGTAATTTTATATCGTATGATTAACGATCTAAACCACAGGGTGTTAGAATAAAATCCTGAGAGCTTGACACAAATTATGTCTAACCATATCGCAAACGCAAACGCAGGTGCACTCAAAACATCTAAATATTATGAATTTTTCAGGAGAGAGGAAGGGTATTTTGTGTCTAAAATGTATAAACTAATATATTCATTAATATTAATTGTAATTATAGATAGCTTGTAAAGAGATTTGTAATGATCGTTACAGTATCTTTTTACATCTTTAAGAAATATTCCACATATATAAGAAAATGAAATTTTTATATCGATTACGGAACACAAAGTGCACCCACTCCTTGGATTCATACGAAATCATCGCTAAAAACAAGACGACCAAATCTAATTTTTTAACTTGCTGATCAATAGCTGCGTTCAGCAAAGAAAGTGACTTTGCAACTGTACCATTTTTTAATGTGATTGGTCTTACTCTTAATTTCTCACTAGATCTAAATGTATAAATCATATAAAATGTATAATCATATTAAAGAATCTTACAACAGTTGCAAAGCTGCTTTTTCTGCCAATGCAGCCATTGGTACATGACAGTACTACATTACGAACGTGGAAATACACTCACACTGTGGAAGAATATTTATCTAATAAGGAATGTATCGTATTCGAAAAGAGTTTAGCTATAAACTGTGAACGAAAACTGAATTTCATAATGTTAGAATCGTATCTTGTAATATCATCGACAATGTTGGAAATTTATTTCTGCACCGTCTGACGGGAAATTCCTACCAATATTCAATGTGATTCACGAAAGGACAAGTACGAACACAATATCAATTAGCTTGTTCATTCCATGGAACACTCGATCTTATCTCTTGTTCATGTGGCGATCATGACGTTTGAGAAAACGATCAGGCGGCGTCAAGGACGATAACATGAGTTTCCATTCCACCGGCCTTCGATGCGGCCGACGAATTATTACAGAAGTATATAGATGCGACCAACTTGCCCGCGAACTCGTGGATTTTTATAATGTACATAGTCATAATAGCATTGCACACTTTAGATAACAAAATAGAGGTATTACCGTGAGCTGTTCGTTGGCGATTTAGAATAAGTACTTTTTTGAATCTTTACACGCTATATATTGATTATCTGGGACAGCCTGGCTGGCTGGCACACCCTCTGTTATGTACTGTAGTATATTTACGTTATATATTATATATAATTTTGAGATTGTATTCCTCGCGTCCTTGTGTTATGCACCGAGCGCTAAATTATTATCAGCTCTCTGTGATCGATCAGACCTTACCACGCGTTCACTTAAAGTAGGATCGATTTCAATAAGCGTATATCATGTTATTAAATATTATACATAATAGTTTGGATATTCTGGGAATCGAGATGTTACGATCCGCCTCTCTTATTTTGGAGGACAGTTTTATTCGCCAAGATCTTGACCCTAATTATTATTTACGTTGTTCCATTGTCACTTTGCATGAAACGAAAATTAATAAAATTAATGTGATGTTTCTCGTACATACGTACGAATGAGATATCTGGCGATAGCGTTGCGCACAATGTTGACGAGTCATCGACGCAATGTTAATACAAATTTGCAATACCTTGGTGCAATCTCACACCAATAACACTATTTATCGAATGGGTATCTAGTCCAAAAGGAACGCGTATTACTTTGCATTTTGTACCTTAGATGTAAAGGTTCTCCAATAAAAGAATCATATTTCTATGGAATATATTCTCTATTTCATCTCGTTTATCATACAACCTACGAGCCATATTTCCTTTTACCTTCTACTTGCTTTTCCTAAAAAGTAAAACAAACTTTTCAAGTAACAAAATATACTAAAACTAATTATTAATTTATTTTATCTATTGTTTCAGTAAGTTTTTAATTATCACTACACAATCATAGCGTATATTTATAAAAAGCATCATTAAAAAATATAACATAAATGACATGAATGTTTCCTGACGAGTTTTAGCTTTTCTTTGCGTTGCAATGATTTAAATCTCTTTTGATTTCATATATATATATTATAAATATTATAAATATTAATAAATTCATATTATAAATATTAATAAAAAAACTTAGACGTTATATAAACTATACTAATGTTAATTTGTTACCTGTAATTCAAATATTCTCTTAAAGTGCTAAGGTCCCATTTAATAGCTCATCTGCAACCAAAATAGTAATCTTAAAATCGAATATAAAAAAGAGAATTCTTTTTTTTCTAACAACAAGATCAGCGAGGGCAAGAACCAATCAGAGAAAATCAGTATAGCGTATAATTAATAACATCATATTTTATATTTTATGATATTCCTAATATAATTTATGTAATTAATTATTTTTTTTAATATTTACTTTCAAATAGTGATGACGTGTGACTCCGTGTAAAACCAACTGATTCGTAAATAGTGGCTCCCAGGTTCTATAACTAGATAATCAAAGAGGAAATTTTTAGATTCTTCTTTTCTATTTCCCTGTAAATTTCCAGTCCATTGGTAAGGTAAATTACAATACCACGATTTAAGGTACAATTTCCCTGCTGAAATAAGCGACAGATCCGTCGCTCTTATTCCAGTAGCTGAAATTTTGTAGTTTGAACAGTTTTAACTGTAAGCATCGAACGCTGTCGTCCCTTCCACTACTACCTTCGAATAGTATCTATACGGATCACACACACACAATTGCATTGTTACCGCATTGCAAATTAATCAATCTGAAATTAAAACAAAATATTCCTTATATACAAAATATTTTTACAAAAAAAAATGAAAATAATTACATTTCGATATCAGATTAAAAGTTAGCAGCAAGGAATTCTCAGACATATGCTTGTCAAAATTATAATCATCATACAATTAGAAAAATGTATTAAAAACAAGAAACAGTCCTTACTTTATAAAAAATGTCATTTTGATGTACAATTTATATTATTGCAATTATGTTGAGCATAATGAATATTAACATCTTCAAATTCTTCCTTACACGCTCTCTTGCATATTTCTCACATTCTGAAAAAAAAAAATTATTTCCGTTAGTCTTGAAGGTTATTCACTTTAATTGCGTCATTAGTAATACATATTAATCTATCAGGAAATCATTTTATCACCATGTTTTTACGTAAGACAGGGATAACTATTTATTCATCACGTCTTAATTATCTAGATAATAAAGTTGACTTTTACAATACAACGTTATCTTTCTTTTCTTTTATTAAGAAATTTTAGACTTACATAATTCTTATTGCTCAAACACTGTTGTCTCTTCCACTACTACCTTCGAATAGTATCTATACGGATCACACACACACAATTGCATTGTTACCGCATTGCAAATTAATCAGTCTGAAATTAAAACAAAATATTCCTTATATACAAAATATTTTTACAAAAAAAAATAAAAATAATTACATTTCGATATCAGATTAAAAGTTAGCAGCAAGGAATTCTCAGACATATGCTTGTCAAAATTATAATCATCATACAATTAGAAAAATGTATTAAAAACAAGAAACAGTCCTTACTTTATAAAAAAATGTCATTTTGATGTACAATTTATATTATTGCAATTATGTTGAGCATAATGAATATTAACATCTTAAAATTCTTCCTTACACGCTCTCTTGCGTATTTCTCACATTCTGAAAAAAAAAAAAATTATTTCCGTTAGTCTTGAAGATTATTCACTTTAATTGCGTTATCAGTAATACATATTAATCTATCAGGAAATCATTTTATCACCACGTTTTTACGTAAGACAGGGATAACTATTCATCACGTCTTAATTATCTAGATAACAAAGTTAACTTTTACAATACAACGTTATCTTTCCTTTCTTTTATTAAGAAATTTTAGACTTACGTAATTCTTATTGAGGAATCCATAGATGTTGTTCAAGTCAAATTTCGAAAAAAGGTCTTAAACTAGTGCTAAAATGTCATAAACCAATCAAAGAGCATTTTAAGACATTATTTAAAGCAGTCTTGAAATTAAGAACAGACTATGAATACTGGCCATAGTTTCTCATCTTGTGATTAAGTTTTTTCTTCATTCATTTTTCAGATGAATATCTAAAATAAAAAATATACTACATATATAATATATGTATATCGCTTTTTTTTATTTTCTCATTAAAATTAATATTTGTCAGAAATAACATTTGCGTCACATGCATTCAGATTGACTGTAGGCGGTTTTGTTTATATTCTCATCATGCGTGTATCGTTAATTAATACTGACAAAAATTATTACATATATAGTACAAAATATGTACTTTTTAAATTTAAGTGGTAACATGGATAACTTACATAAATGTCCGATTTGAAGAAGGAAATTTATAACAAGTCGCAATCTGCTCTTCCATGTTTCTACATAAATGAGATACATGTACATTAGAATGTATTCTCTCTATAATATATCGAAAAAATAAAATAGAAACAATTTTATCAGTCAACTGAATCAGTCACAGTTCTCAGACTGGGGCAGTAACAGTTCATCATATTTATTTATGGGTATATATCGATTGCACACATTACTAACTGACTAATTTAAAATAATATAATCTCATTAGTGAAGCAGTGAAAAATTACTAGGAACAGGCCGATGTGAGTGCTGTGTGCAAGTGCACCGCTTCCTTTATTTATATAACCGGTATTCTTAGTCAGTTCCTATATTAATAAATACGGTATTAAAATGTTTTAAATAAATCACAGAATAGTATATATATACTAACATTTTAAAACATTACTTAAAGGGTTGTTTACAATAAAAGTATAGTAAATTATGTAAGCCGTAAGAAATTGACCAATCACAGTTGAATGCGAGAACAATCGATTATAAATGGCCAATTTTTTATAGCTTACCACAGAATATGACTCCTACTGTAGACAGCCAATAAGACTCGAAATAAAAACGGATTATGAATATCTGCCGTAGTCTGTTCATATTTTAAGACCGTCTTAAGTAATATCTTAAGATGCTAATATGTGATTGGTTCGTGATATCTTAAAACCATACTTAAGATGATCATATATGTACATTGTTAGACAATGCATTCTTAACTTAAAATATAAAAACCAACTATATGAATACTATCCATATATTTATGCGAATGTACAAAGGGAGACATGTTGAGGAAGAGAGGGTACTTGCTTCCATTCCTCTAAATTTTGACCAAGAGGAATATTTATGAAAATTATTTTTATGACGAAAAGTTATATGCTCATTAGCTTATGCATTATTCGTGAGAAAGTTTGCTGAAAATCTTTGGACATTGGCTTTAATATAAATATTTTAATAAGTTTTGTGTAATATAATACAAAAAATTATTACATAAATATTACAAAACAATATGTAATTTTAAATTTAAATGATAACATAGATAACTTACATAAACGTCCGATTTGGAGAAGAAATTTGTAACAGGTCACAAATCTGCTCTTCCATCTTTCTATATAAATGAGATACATGTATATTAGAATGTATTCTCTCTATAATATATCGAAAAAATAAAATAGAAACAATTTTATCAGTCAACTGAATCAGTCACAGTTCTCAGACTGGGGCAGTAACAGTTCATCATATTTATTTATAGGTGTATATAGATTGCCCACATTACTAACTGGCTAATTTAAAATAATATAATCTCATTGATGAAGCAGTGAAAAATTACTAGGACAGGCCGATGTGAGTGATGTGTGCAATTGAACTGTGTGCAAGTGCACCGTTTCCTTTATTTATATAATCGGTATTCATAGTCAGTTCTTATATTTAATAAATACGGTGTTAAAATGTTTTAAATAAATCACAAAATAGTACTAACATTTTAAAATATTACTTAGTCATTTACAATGAGAGTAATACAGTAAATTGTGTAAGCCGTAAGAAATCGACCAATCACAGTTGAATGTGAGGAGAACAATTGAACTATGAATGATCAATTTCTTATAGCTTACTACAGGTAATATTCTAATATTACTCCTACTGTAGACAGCCAATGAGACTCAAAATAGAAACGGATTATGAATATCTGCCATAATCTGTTCATATTTTATGACCGTCTTAAGTAATATCTTAAGATGCTAATGTGATTAGAGAGTTTGTGATATCTTAAAACAATACTTAAGATGATCATATATGTATATTCTAGACAATGCATTTTTAACTTAAAATATAAAAACCAACTATATGAATACTGTCCATATATGTATGCGAATGTACAAAGAAAGGTACGTAGAGGAAAAGAAAGTACTTGCTTCCATTCCTCTAAATTTTGACAAAGAGGAATATTTATGAAAATTATTTTTATAACGAAAAGTTATGACGAAATGCTCATTAGCTTATGCATTATTCGTGAGAAAGTTTGCTGAAAATCTTTGGACTTTGGCTTTAATAGAAATATTTTAATAAGTTTTGTGTAATATAATATAAAAAATTATTACATAAATATTACGAAATATGTACTTTTTAAATTTAAATGATAACACAGATAACTTACATAAACGCCCGATTTGGAGAAGAAATTTGTAACAGGTCACAAATCTGCTCTTCCATATTTCTATATAAATGAGATACATATATATTAGAATGTATTCTCTCTACAATATATAAAAAAAATAAAATAGAAACAATTTTATCAGTCAACTGAATCAATCACAGTTCTCAGACTGGGGCAGTATCTTGTTCATCATATAATTTTTAATAAATTTTTGCTCTCCCTCTCCCCCAACTGAAATCTTGGGTATGTCAATTACATCAAATATCGATTAAAGAAACAAAATTATCTTTTTCCACATTAATTGAAGTACAGCAAAAAAAAACCAAATCTATTCACAAACAGGATATTATCGCATGTTTTTAGTTCGCATTGCATACTCCAATATGCTCCAACATATTCCTACCATAGCTTCTTAGGTCTGCTTTCTGTGGCTGAACTAGTGTACACTTTTGGAACTTGAAGTAAGATGGATATATGTTCGATATTTGTTGAAAGTGAGAAAGAGTGCTAGTGCAGTCTAGTGCAGGAACAGAAAACAGGCTACTAGTTACTCTAATGAGCAGTTTGGAATGAATAGAAACTATGGTAGGAGCATGTTGAAACATGTTGGAGTATGCAACGCAAACAAAACTATAAAAACATGTGGTAATTTCCTATTTGCAAATAAATTTAATTTTTTTTGCTTTAGTACCTTAATGAGTTAAGAATTCTATCTTTAAATCTTGTGTATTTCATAAAATAATCTCTATTTTTCTGCATTTAAATTAATATAATTAATAATAAAACAATGGAAAAATTTTACATTAGGCAATATTCTCAAATGCAATTCCAAGATTGTACATCTGCAGATGGTTGAAATGATTCAAAATGCAACTCAAACGAGAATGTGTGTGGCAGAGCAAGAATCGAAATCCTTTCTCAAACATAAGAAAAACAAAATACTCACTAAAACAATTGTGATGATAAGCACAAGCTATTTAGTGGCTCTGCCATATCTTCGATATGAGAGAAAGACAGCAAAGAGAGGAAGGCAGCTCTACAAACCCAGCACTAAAAGAGAAACGGGAACTAAAATCGCGATGGTGTTAAAAGCATGCGACGATACGTCGCCGTAGGAATTGGTGTGATCAGAGAAACGTAAGGATCATAATCAAGAGACAATCATACGAACGAGACAAAAATGTTCATCATGTTGGAACGAAACGGGACGTGCTCAAGCTCTGCGCCGAAATATAATTGAAAAATACAATCGAGATTATTAAATTCAGGAAAAATTGTGCGCAGGAAACCTATCGCGAGATACCCGGGCGAAGTGTGCACGCGGATGACGACGGATTTCGAAAATAATCTCACCTTTCCATGGTAAGCCAGGACGTGCAACATGTGCAAGGACGCCAACGACGCGTCCTCCGAGAGATCCAGTCGCAGAATGAACGATCAACGAAGGCGGTTATATTTGATCGAGAAAAACTTCCGGCAGTGTTGTTAGACGGACTGGGTTTCAGACGCATGCGTGTCCACTGTCCAACGTAACTTCAGTAACGTATCGGTCACTAGTAAATAGGAGATCATTAGCCCGGATCCTCATACGGGCAACAGCGTTCGGTGTCAAAGCGCTGTTGCCCGTATGAGGATCCGGGCTTAGTCGCCTATGTTAAATTTTTTCAAAAATGTTGAAAATTTTAATATATTTTACATATTTTACATATGTATACATATATGTAAAATATATGAAATATATTAAAATTTTCAACATTTTCAATCCTAATGCTGGATTCACACTGCATCCGATTTGCGTCGTACGACGCACATCGAATGCAGTGTGAATCCAGTATAAGCGACTAATAATCTTTTATTTACTAGTGTGACTGGTACGTTACTGAAGTAAAGCGGGGAGCACAGACTCTTGCATAACGCATAACACATGAGGCATAAGAAATTGAACCAACCAGAGTTCTCTATTATATGGAAGGGAAAGAAACGGAAAACTTCGATTGGTACATATTCTTATGCATTACGTGTTATGCGTTATGCAAGAGTCTGTGCTCCCCGCTTTACGTTGGACTCGAATGCATCTGAAACCCAGCCCGTCTAAAGGTACCTTTTCATGCTGACGCTCGACGCTCATTTTCGGCGTCAAAATATGTCACGTGATAGAAATTAGCGAATATCAAGCGTCAATTTTGATCTCGTGATTTATTTTGACGCTGAAACCGAGCGTCGAGCGTAAGCATAAAAAGGCACCTTAAAGGTGCCATTACATGGCAGCGTTAAGCTGGAAACACAATAGACACAGGCAATAGGCACAGGCAACAGGGAATAACGAGCCGTCATATCAGAACTGGGATATAATATCGAACTTATATCCCAAAGGTCTGATTGGACGGCTCGTTATTCCCTGTTGCCTGTGCCTATTGCCTGTGTCTATTGTGTTTCCAGCTTTAAGCATCGAGCGTCGAACATCGTGAGCTTACTATTCGCTAAAAACAGGTCACGTGATCAAAATTGATGAATAGCAATCTCACGATGCTCGACGCTCGATGCTTGACGCTGCCATGTAAAAGTACCATAACAACACTGGCTTCCGGCACATCTGCGCATACTCCAGATCGTTATGGAGGATTTACATGAAGCCATTAAGTCGATATTTCGACCAATCGCTGAATTCGCGAAAATTTATTTTATGGACAACGAGATCATAAGCTTGTATTTTTTAGTTGAACTTTTGCATCAGTTCATTTTTCTTCCTCTTCTTTTCTTCTGGAGAGAAAAGGAAGAAAGATCAACTGGTGCAAAGTTCAGTTGAAAAGAACAAACCTCATGGCTGCGATCAAATTTTCATTATAAATGCTTTAAAGCTGGAATTTCATCTGACGCTACGACACTCATTTTCAGCGTCACAACAGGTCACCTGATCAAAATTGACGCTTGATATTCGTCAATTTTGAACATGTGACCTGTTTTGACGCTGAAAATGAGCGTCGAGCGTCAGCATGAAAATCCAGCTTAAAGCATTTTTTTGATTGGCCAATAAGGAGAACGAATTTTACAAATCAATTAGTCAAAAAACGCTTTAAAACATTTGTAGCTTTGTGTTGACCGTACCCCATATTTTCCATCGCAATGAAATGTATTTAATTGATTTCCTTCGATTTTATTTAGAGAGATTTCGATTTTATTCCTTTGAGAGAATTTAACATAATCTGTTAATAATTAATTATTAAATTAATATTGTAATAATTATATTAAATTAAAACAATTAAAAATATTAATAATTATAATCTGCGAGAAATATTTATAAAGAGCAATTTTAATTAACTAAACTGATTCATCTATTATGTTTATTTTCTAGTTTAAACTTATCCCTATAAAGTGAAAATTTTTTTTCAGAATTTTTTAATAGAAATTTAAGCATTTCAGAAAAATTAAGAAAACCTTTTCTAAAAATCTTTCATATATACAAATTATTCTAAAATATTTTAAAATTTGTATAGTTATAAAGATTTCTCATTCTGTAATTTCTGAAAAAATACCTTAAACTTTTTCAAATTTTATGATATTTTATTAGAAAAAATGAAATAAGAATAAGTATTATTTAACTATTTAATAGAATGTATATATTTCAACAAGTAGAATTAAGTAATCCACTGTTTTGAAAGATATATATTATGTTCTAAAAAATGTTGCTAATTTTCAGCTTATTTTATCTCGAAAAACGCCGAAAATGGCCCTTTTCAATTAGTTTCTCTTTGAATAATATAGAGAGAAACCTAAACGGCTGAGAATTAATGCGTGTTTAAAAATTTAACTTTGAAGTGAATGAAATCTGTTTACTGACCCTTCTATCTGCACAAAATGTGCACATACAACTATTACCATTGCTATTTTTGGCGGGTAATACTGAATACATCAACGGTCTTTCTTTTTAGATTTTTGAGAGACTATGGCCCGTATTCAGAACGCGCTTACAATGATGTTAGCACGCTACATACTATCCTTTACGTCACGTATATTATAGAATTTCAGCGATAAAAACGTTTTCTGAATACGGGCCTATCTCTTCATATCACCCCTGTCGATTACAATCGACGGTCCTCTTTTTGACTTTAGCAAACTGACATTAAATCATTACAATTACGCTTGTGTATGAAATAGAAAACGACATTAGGTTTTTTGTATAATATACGCAACATTGGAAAATGGACTCAACGAAATTATATCGACATTAATCTTGCAAATTATTGAATGAGCATAATGTATGCTTATAATTATATCATAATGCATTTAATATTTAATAAATAAAACTAAGTAAAGTCATATTGCTGTTAATATTTTGATTTGAAGAATATTATTATACAGAATTTTATAAGTAATAGATATGTGTATTTTTAAATTTGCAAAATGTTTGAGTGATCCACAAATTATAATTTATATTTAATATTTTTTAAAACAATTTAGCTTTTTCCTGTTACCATCGAAATCGCCCATACATCCATTTTCCGCCTGCAGTATCTTTTGACACAATTCTCTGTGTTATGATTTTATTAACAAGGTCAAAAAATGGACGTAGCGTAGTTCCCAAAAATAGATGTAAAAAAAGTCGGCATACCTAGAGTCCCTATAATGAGAGTCAAGACATAATACCGAAAGGACGCCATTGCTGGGCGCCGGCCGGAAACAGCACAAATAACACATGACACAAATAGATGCGTTCACGCCTGTTTGTACTACTACACCATGAAACAGTTGCTCGCATTTCAAGGCCGTCTACAATACACGGAGTAAGAAGTAAGAGTAAGAAATTGACCAATCACAGTCGAATGTGAGAAGAATAATCGACTGTGATTGGTCAATTTCTTACTCTTACTTCTTACTCCGTGTATTGTAGACGGGCCTTGATGTTCTGACTTGCGGCTTATTGTAGAAGGACTGTAAGGAGAATACTCGATTGGAATTGGTCAGTTTCCTACGACTTAAAGCCCATTCTACAATTGCGTAAGTGTAGTTGTAAATAGTTGTAGTTGTAAAAATTGATCAATCACTGTCGAATATGAGAAGAATATTCAACTGTGATTGGTCAATTCTTACAACTACAATCACTTACAACTACGCTTACGTAATTGTAGAATAGGCTTAAGACTCCATGACCATCTACGACTTCTATGTAGAGGACCCTTCACACATCGAAAGCGCCTAGAAATGGCGGCGACCAATCACGAGGGCGTCGCCCTTCATGTCTTGACTCTCATTATAGGGACTCTAGGCATAGCCTCTCTCAAGTTTTTCTCTGGCGATACTCTCGCGGTACCAAAACTACCAAATGCCACCAATGCGCCACTAGAGTCAGACGTGGCTGGAGTGACCTAGTCCGAAGTGTCCTAACCTTACGTCAAAATTTGTCATTCATACGTATTATTCGTCGTTGTGATAACTTGGAGTTTCGTGGAAAACAACAACGACACCGATAACGATGCTGTCATTGAGACGCGATTAATCTATAAGTGCTAAAGTGACGAAGTGACATCCCACGAAAAATACCCAGTGCCATGAAAATATCTTCGCCCACCGAGTGATGACACCTAGATTGCTGTTTCCTGCGGTGCGTAAACATCAGTAAACACTGTCCTAATCGCATCTTATCGCATTCTCGCTATCCTATATACGCACGACTCTAAAACCCGATAATGAAAAACACACCTTCAATACGCTGTTCTAATATATAATACATTTTGCCTTAATTTTAAATCTCAAGTCTGTATATCGTCAGCCAGTAATTGTAAAATGGTAGAGAATTTAATGTGATTGCATTGTAGGAGGAAATTGAGTGACCGATATTTGAGACCAGCCTGTTCGTGCGTACATTTATTTAAAACAATGATGGAGTTGAGTCATAGTCTGACCCTCAATGAGGATGCTCTTAATCAAATCCCAGAGGCTAAGCGACCGGTTTTCATCTTTGAATGGTTACGCTTTTTAGACAAAGTTTTGGTCGCTGCTCAAAAGGTATCAGTTTAAAAAAGTTTAACATTGATGGTCCAGTTTATATAAGCTGTCCAGTTTATTATTAACGAGAGATATGATTGAAATTATTTATTTAATAATACCTATGATAAATTTTTAATCATGCTAAATATTTGCAGAGTGATATTAAAGGATGTCAGCAAAAGTTAGTGGAGCAATTGACGAGGCATATGCAAGGAGCACCAGGTCCACCAACTCGACGTCTCATTGCAAGGTGCCTAGCAACTTTGTTCAGTGTAGGCGACACATTCCTGCTGTTTGATACTGTCAACAAATGCAATGATATCTTGAGGAATAAGGATGATTCACCAAGTTTTCTACCCACAAAACTGTGAATATTGTTAATTTTATTAATAACAAATTTGATGTAATTCTGCAATATGTATACATACATGCTGTTTACCTAGAGCTGCTATTTGCTGTGTGGGATGTATGTATGAGAAATTGGGAAGAATGATGGGCAGGTCATATGAGGAAACTGTACAGATCCTAATAAAGTCCTTACGTTCTGCTGAATCACAGACACGGATAGAAATTATGCACACGTTAGAGAAGGTGACAGTATTGTTAAAAATTTTTGTAACTATCTAAATAAAATATGTTTGTAATTTAATGTATATTTGTCCTATAATTAGGTGTGTGCTGGAATGGGATCTGCGATAACTAATGTGCATAAGGAAATATACAAAGTTTCCAGGCATTACCTGACCGATAGAGTGATGGCAGTAAGATGTGCTGCTGCGAAGGTACTTATATTTATAAAAGAAATGTTGATTATTTGCTCTATTTTTCTATATTTACCATAATTTATTTTTACAGTGTTTGTTGGAAATGTTGAATCATGCTCCGTTTTTATATACGACCGAAATCGAAAGCGTTGCAACACTGTGCTTCCGGGCATTCGAAGGTTCAAATTACGAAGTAAGATGCTCCATTGCTAAATTACTGGGTACCTTAGTGGCAATGACGCAGCTTCCTTCACCCAAGATAAAAAATCTCACAGGTATTAAAGTAAAAATATATTATGAAAATATGTATCCAAATTTAGGCACTTATTTATCCAAATCTTATTCTAATGTACATATTACATAGTTGCGCACAACAAAGGTGCTAAGCAAGCTTCGCTTGAAGAGGTGTTAAATATCCTGATGTCTGGATTTTTAAGAGGTGGTGTGGGTTTCTTAAAAGGATAAAGCATTTAAAATTTACAAATTTATATAATTGTGTAAAAAATATTTTTGCTGTTATTTTTCAAAAAAACAAAGCAGAACATCATTTGCATTTTTCTTATTGAGTTAAAAAGCCTTTAACTTTATTTTTCCATGATAAAACATCTCATGGACATTTGATGCTATTACAGGCATACGTGATATTTGTTCAAATGTTGGGCGGTACCTGGCTAGAACGAAATATCGGAGCGTTAATCGCGCACGTTTTAGATCTGGTTACAAATCCGAAAGCCGCTAGTTCTCACGTCGAGGCGGTATACTCGCGTAAATGTGTGAATTTCATTTTACGCGGTACTATCGGCAAATTATTAGGAGAAGGAGCTCAAGCAGCCGCTTGTAAAGAGATAGCGCATATTATTCTAAAGCAAATGAATTCCATCGGTAAGAATAACTTTTCTTCACACTTTAATATAACGTACAGTCATACATAATCTTATTGTGGCTTTATTAGATTTTAGTCCGGAAAACGCCAAAGATTGCAATCAAGAAACGTTATTCAGTCAGCATTTATTAGTGTGTGCATTACAAGAAATGGGCAATCTGATACTAGGATTAGGTACCACAGCTACAAATTTGCTATCCGATCAATCTCTAAGTATGTATTTGCGTATACAACATATCTTTTTTTTTCTTTAATATAGAAATAGTCTGAATAGTGTAGTTAATTATGTATTTATCTCAGGTCTGATCGATGCCATAATGGCTGTTCTGGTGCATCCGTGTCAAGCGGCTAGACTGGCGGCTTCCTGGTGTTTACGGTGCATATGTGTGGCAGTACCAAGTCAAATAACACCCTTGATCGATCGCTGTGTCGATGGGATTGAGAATATGCGTAGCTCACCGGAAGCTATAGCCGGTTACAGCAGTGCTCTTGCCGCGGTGCTAGGAAGTGTTCGTTTGTCACCTTTGGGAGTCCCTCATACTAAGGGAAAGGTATATTTGCTCTTGTGCATTATGCCCTACTTTATATTATCAATCATGCGGGATTAATTATCGAGTTTCCTATTTTCAGATAATTTTCAATACAGCGGAAGAACTTCTGAGAAGTGCGAGTCAAAACAGCCGTTTGTCTTTAAATCGCACGCATGCAGGATGGCTTTTGATAGGAGCAATTATGACTTTAGGTATAAATGTCTTTTATTTAATAATGAATAATAATTTAAGCCTGAGCCGTATATATGCACATATAATTTATATGTATATAGGTACGGCAGTAGTAAAAGGCTTATTACCGAGAATGTTACTTCTATGGAGAAACTCCTTCCCGCGTTCGAACAAAGAACTTGAGAGTGAAAAAGCTCGCGGCGATGCTTTCACGTGGCAAGTGACTTTGGAAGGACGTGCGGGCGCATTGTCCGCTATGTACAGTTTCCTGCTGCATTGTCCGGAACTTTTGAACGATGATATTACACGGCGATTACTCACGCCGATCGAATCTGCTCTGGCAATGCTGACAAAGTACTAAATATTGATATACTTTTTATGTAACGCGACAAAGAAATATTTGGAGCATCAATCCTATAACTAGGATATATTTTTTCAGTTTATCTCCTGTTTTAAAGAACTATGGTCAACAATTGAAAGCTCCTGCAGCTATGGTTCGTTTGCGCTTATATGAAACGTTGTTGCTGCTACCACCGCAAATGTTCGAAGGTATAAAATCTATAAATAGAATACTATAAAATATATTTATATTTTAGTCTTTAGTTTGGAATTTACATTATTGTATGATAACATAGGTTCTTACACGCACCTTCTGAGAATGTTGGTATCAGAGTTCACGCTTACGGATAATCCTGGAAATACCACTACTTCCTTATTGAGTGTGGTTTGCCACGCTAACGATTCTGTGATTCTTGGTACATGGCTACAGGAGACCGATCATCGCACAATAGAAGACCAAGTAAGTTTGAATTTTGAATTTTTATATTCCACATTACAATATAGTTTCTATCTCTATATATAACATCTTGGCTAATGTTTGGCTTAACATTGCTTGTTTGATCTTGTCCAAAAATTACAAATTTATGGAAACGTTACTGTCTTAAAAACGATTTTCATAAACTAATTCTAATACTGCACGCACATATTTTATGTATGTACAACTTATACTCTTTTCTTATCCAGTAAAAAATTGTGATTTAATAACTAAAATACATGTATGTTTTGTAAAATCTTTGAATATGCAACTTGTTTTATGTTGTGTTTTATTTGACTGCAATTCATGTTTTATTTGATAATTAAGATTTTATATAATATTTAGCTAATTTCAAATATAAAAAATAAATACTTTGCAATTTAAACTTTTATAAAATGTAATTTTTGCGTTAACTTTTAAATACCCTCGTGTTTAGATGGAACCAAACAGAAGGGCAGATTTGGAACATGTGAGTAAGGTGTTCTTTAAAGTGTGCCTTTCATTTTTATTTTGTTTTCTCTCTACTTATGTATATATATATAATTATAATATTTTATGTATGAAAATTAATAGATTAATTTTTAATTAAAATTAATTTTTAGGTCTCATTTTTATCTTGATATGATATTATTTTATTAATATAATAATGTATATATATGTATATATATATATATATATGTATTAATTTGTAAATATTTTTTTAGAATTTATATAAAGAAACTTTACTTTTTATTTTACAATTTATAGAGCTTGTACTTTATTAATCTTATTAAATTAATACTTTATAATTTGTAATCTTTTTTTCAGCTTCAACCAAATAGTGCTGCGGGATCTGGGGCATTGGAACATAATACATGCTGTCTTTACAGACCAATGCCACACGTAAGTTCAATTAATCATTTTATACAACATAAATAAAAAAAAAAAAAAATTTTTTTTAATTCATATTTCTATAAATTAGTTTTAAATCTTATTACTGTGAATTATATACAAATACAGAAAAAAAATCTAAATACAAATTTTGTATATGATTATAGTTTGAAATGATTCCTGGTCCCTTGCCGTTGGGTGTAGCGGTGATTGATTTATCGGTTGCATTATTCGGCCAGATATTCCCACGTGTAGCAAATAAGCACAGACTGCAGATGTTGGATCACTTTAGCGAGTGTATAAAGCATACTAAGTCCGGAAGGCAGGAGGCAATACAAATGAACGTATTTACGGCCGTATTGAGCGGCTTGAAGGGTCTCAATGAGGCGAAAACAGGCTTTGGACAGGAAGACGTCAAGAAATCCGCCACTAATCTTATCATCAGCACGCTGATCAGCAGCAACCCTATTTTACGATGGGCGGCTGGAGAAGCGGTTGGCAGAATGGCCCAAGTGATCTCCGATCCCAAATTTACAGCGGAATTGGCGCAGACCAGTTTTGATCGGTTGAAATCGGCTCGCGATGTGGCCAGCAGAACCGGCCACTCATTAGCGTTAGGCTGCCTTCATAAATACGTTGGCGGAATGGGTTCTAGCCAACATCTTAACACTAGCGTCAGCATCTTACTCGCACTTGCACAAGATAATTCGTCTCCCGTAGTACAAGTAAAATATTGCCATATTGTCTTGTTTTGTTTATCTTTATACTTTGACAAAAAAAAATTATAAAATAAATTTTCTTTAAGGTTTGGGCGCTGCACGCTCTGGCTCTGATAGCTGATTCCGGTGGACCAATGTTCAGAGGTTACGTAGAGCCTACCCTGTCTTTAGCGCTGACCCTTCTCCTCAATGTTCCTCACTCTTATATCGATGTGCATCAATGCATCGGAAAAGTTTTATCAGCGCTTATCACGACGATAGGACCAGAATTGCAAGGTACACAATGTACCCAACTAATTATAGAGCAAATGCGAAATATGACTATTGTTTTTGAGGAAAATAATTGAACCATTGATTTTATAGGCAATACTTCAACGATTTGCATGGCACGGTCGTCATTTTTATGCGCGTGTGCTATTATGCAGGATCATCAGGATCCCCTCGTTCAAGCCGAAGCAACCGGCTGCCTTCAACAGTTACATCTTTTTGCACCCAGACACGTCAATTTATCTTCCCTCGTTCCTACATTATGTGTAAGGATCTTTTGAATACTGAGAAATTTCGTAAAGTTTTCATTATTTCTTATACTTATTTATTTATAGCGTACCTTATCAAGCAATCATTTGCTTCTTCGTAAAGCTGCGATATCCTGTCTTCGGCAGCTCGCTCAACGAGAAGCGAAAGAAGTATGCGAGCATGCGATGACTCTAGCTAATGAAAGCAGAGATACTAATGTGGTAGAAGGTCTCATTATCACTGAAACCGGTCTCCCGGGCGTGTTATTCAGTATGCTGGATACGGAAACTGATAGTAAACTAATCAAAGACATTCATGACACTTTGACAAGCATGTTGCAAATATTAGCAGCCGATAATTTGTCTCAATGGTTATCACTATGCAAAGACGTTCTCACGATAGCTTCAGGTAACAATCAAATTCTTCTAATTAATGGTTGACGAATAATTTCTTGAATAAAATATTCTTCTTTGTTACATAGAATCAAGTACTATCGAAGAAGGCAACGCAGCGAATGCGGAAGATAGCGCCGCTGATAACGAATCAGCAGATGCGGAAGGTGACGATGATCAGGCTGAGTTTCACGCCGACGAATCCACTAAACAACGACCGTCTATCACACCGAGATGGCCAACGAGAGTCTTTGCGGCACAATGCGTCCGACGTATCGTTGCAGCTTGTATGAATAACAAGCAGGCTCACTTTGATCTGGCTCTGGCCAAAGAGATGCAACAATCTAAGGGAAAAGGTACGACTGATATAGCTATAATGTTGCTATCTCTTCAAATTTTTCTTCATTTTTAATACGCTCTCTTATTCGGATCGTACAGGAGATTTTCTGGTATTACATCTATCGGACTTGGTGCGTATGGCGTTCATGGCTGCAACGAGTGATTGTGATCCATTGCGACTCGAAGGTCTCAAAACTCTGCAAGAGATTATTGATAAATTTGCCAAAGTTCCCGAACCGGAGTTTCCTGGACACTTATTGCTGGAGCAGTTTCAAGCACAAGTAAGTCTTAATCTACTACATTTTTGCAATTGTGTAATTTTTACAATGATTATTATATCAAATATAAATCTGTTTAAAGGTCGGAGCTGCTTTAAGACCAGCATTTTCCGCGGAAACACCGTCGCATGTTACAGCTGCAGCTTGCGAGGCTTGCAGCGCATGGATCGGCAGTGGCGTCGCTAGGGATCTCAATGATCTACGAAGGGTGCATCAATTACTTGTATCATCTCTCGAGAAATTGAGAGAAGGCAACACTCGGCCGCAACTGTATAATGAGAGCTTATCAACGTTGGAAAGATTGGCGATCCTAAAAGCATGGGCAGAGGTATATCGACACTATTATTATGTTCAATATAGAAATAATATAACAAAGATAAGATATCTGTAAATTGTAAAAGAAATCTGTAAAAGAAAGAGAAAATTAAATTATATTTTTTTAACAGGTATATGTAGTTGCAATGATAAGAGACGGATCCGCATTGAATAGCAAAGATACGACTAATCGAAATGCGAATCAAGTCGACGAAGCGAGCGAGGAAGATTTTGGAGAATTCGAGTTCCAAAGCGAAAGTTTGCTGAGCCTCGTTCAACCAGAGCTTCTGAGTCTGAGTCAACATTGGTTATCAGCGTTGAGAGATCACGCATTACTCTCTCTGCCGCCAGGTATTATTGAATAATAGGAATATAATGAGAGAAGAATAACAATGCAGAACCATAATGACTACGTGTTAATACGTTCACGATATGATCATCATATAGGTCATAATTATTCTACCCTATCGTCAGTCAAGCATTTCCTATACAAGAGATGATAACGATATTTCTGTAACCTAAAGTGTGTATAATATCTGTGCACGTCAGTTATGCGTCATGATCTGCTAATGTGACCCTTAGTAGTCACCGTAACTTATAAGCAATTTTAACTGATCTCATACTTAATTATCCTCCTCGCATTCACTGTGATTGATCAATATCTTACGATTTGAAGCTTACTACAACCTATTGCATTTCGAGACTAATCATGTCGTCCGCGGTTACTCGAAAAATGTCATAAATATGTTAATATTAACAAATAATTATTCAGAATTACTTTTTATTATGTCTTTTTATATGTTGCACATATCTTTTTTGGATTTATTTATTCGGATAATTAAAACTATCGTTATGATTTTTTTCCCAGAATTCTCCAGTCAGTTGCCGCATGATGGTGGTGCCTTTTACACGACAGACACTATGGAGTCCGCGCGTCCTCACTATGTAGAATCGTGGGCGCCGATCCTCCATGCCGCGACTCTTTGGCTCAATGCAAGAGGATTTGAAATGAGAGACAGTAATCAGGAAAAAGCAACGGCGAATCTTACTAATAATAATAATCGTAACAATAATAACAACAACGATGAAACTACCGTTTCTAAAACTAACACAAATGTTGAACGTTTTCACTTATTATTTGGTAAGTATGTAATGTAATAAAACATTAAAACTGCTTGTATGTGTATATAATATCAACACAATTTACTTTATGTGTGTGATAACGTTTTAAAGGAATATGCAACATTCTTTTTTTATCATAATTATTTGCAGGTATATGTATGGAAGCTTTGTGCAGCCCTCGCTCTTCCGAATCCCAGCAAAATATAAAGACATGTTTAAATGCGTTATATACATTACTTGATTCAATATGGGCACGTAAGGTCTTCATTACGGATCGTTCTTTACCTATTGAATTATGTAATGTTCTTCATAGGTATGTGTTCTTCATATATATGTAAAAATATAAATCTTTTTTTTATTAGATAATACTGATATTTTGGTACGTTTGTTACTTTAAAGATTGCTTTTAACACGAGAGAGTTATGTCATCCAAATGATAGTAATGGAAGTGTTGAAACAAGTGATGAAAGCAGCGCAAGAAGATCTTACAGCGAGAAAAAAATTGAAACTCAAAGGTACGTGATCTCCGAAATTTTCGATAATTTTGACAATTTTTTACATCGCACAAGTTTATCATGTATATAAAAACGTATATCTTTTTGTAAAAGATAATGCAACGGCGAATCAAGAAAACAATGAAACATTGGAACTGGATCTACTGGGTGAAGGAGAAGAGAGTGGTGAGCTGACGCCGGGCAAATCATTAGTATTTGCTGTTCTGGAAGTATGTCTGTGTCTCCTAGTGCGGCAGATACCAGCATTGAATCCGAATCCCGGTGGTGCTACTGCCATTTTATCTCAGAAGGGATATGTGTCGTCTGAGAAGAGCGGCAAACTAATCGCATCATCCTTCAGTATAATGGAGTCTCTTCCCACATTGTGCTCTCCGCAAGGTACTTTGATAAAACGCTTATGTAATTAACGTCGTTAATATTAATCAGTAGTCTCATAGTATTTATTCTGTTTCTTAAAGGCGCAATAGCAATTCTACCAACACTGCTGTATCTGGCAACGGGCGTAATACGCGAAACCGCGGTACGTACGGACAACGATAGCACTAAATCCAGTTCGGAAACACCGGTTCACGCTGCGTTGCACTGCGTTAAGAGTCTCACTAATAACAAATACGCTCGGGATCACAGAAGTCAGGAGCAATGGACAGGATTACTACGAAGCGCGCTTGCCAAGATTATCGATCTGGCTAAAACAGGTACGTTAACTTTATCCTTTAGAGGAGAAACATGGAACTAAAATGCATATCTCTTATTCATAAAATATCAGAAATCAAAATGAAATATATATCGCACGCATGTTTCTTATATTGAAATATAAAGTATTTATCGTAGTAATGGAAGAAATTAACATATATGTATATATATTTCACTTATTTTTATTTTATCTATTTTGTTTTTATAGGCAATGACGAAACTAAGATGGATGAAGTGGCAATGATGCTAGGCATCGCAGTATTCGTGCTTCATGCGTCACCGGAAGTAGTGAGTGCTCCAAATCTGCAATTTCCATGTATTAACCATTTTCGGCATGCGTTCCAGTCTGAAAATTTAACGGTGAGTTAATGACAAAGAAAAAAACGTTACTTCTAATTATTGATCTTGAAAGTAATTTTGAATAATCTTGCACTCAGGTGAAGCTGAAATGTGTGCAAACATTAAGAACGATATTTCTGCATCCGGAACGTAATATAAGTACTCCATACATCCACGCGCTTGCACCACGTCTGGTAGAATACCTATACAGCGACAAGAGCAAGCAGGTGACAAATGACATGGAACTGACTTTCACATTGGAGTGCATCAGCACGGTAGAAGCCCTCATAGGACTCGCCGATCTCTCTAATCGTAAGTTATCTTAGTTGAACTTATAAACTTTTATCACACAAAATTAACGCTCATGGAACATTAATACAAAACATTAATGCGATATGTGTTACACGCTATACAGGAGATCTGTTACAAGGTGTGTGGAAAGTGTGGTCTTCAATCTAATCTTTTAATGTGTTAATTAGTTGCTAATTATTTACTATACATTTCAAACAATACATTTCAAATAAGCTTAACATACGTATAATATTTTGTGAAATTACTAGGTATTCAAATGCTGACTTTACTTGTACCAATTTTAATCAATTACCTACTGGAAGGAGATGAGCTCCAGCGCGCTACAAAATATCAAGCGAGCCTCCATCAACAGAGTTTTCAATGGCTCAATAAGATCGGGCCAAAGTATCCGCAGGTACAATATTAAAAAAATTTTTTCTAATTCCGAATGATATGAGAGTATTTAATAATTATTTTATATTGTTAGGAATTTAAGACATTGATGTCACAGTCCACCGAGTTGAAAACAAAATTGGAAAACGCCGTAAGGACTAGTCATCAGCAGGCGCAGCGGCACACTCGGCCAGTCGATCCTATAAAACCACAGATCAAGATATCCGCGCCATCAATCAAATTAAAAACCGACTTCTCCAACTTCAACTAGAAGCAGATCGTATGTTGCAGATAAAAAATAAGAAATAATTTATTAAAATCTCATAAGACTAACGTAAAAAATGATATTAATGATTTTATCGTAGATATAACTCGATCGTGTTAACGCGACTTCACCCAATTATCAATTATCAGACAAATCAAATAGTTGTTTACAACGTTTTAGCGTCGTGATAATTATAAAGTGATATTTCGTCGTTAGAGAATTGTACTCGACTGTACTTAGAAAAAAAGGATTAGAAATTAGCAATATTATATGACATATATAAAGGGATAGGATAATGTGAAAGGAATGGGAAAATTGATGTCGGATGATCAATTAACTGCTACTATAAAATGATATTATCTTACATTCTCTTCATCCCATTTTAACTTTTTTATTAGTACAATAACGTTCCTAATTTTTCAATTATGCTTTCCAAGAAGATAACTTTATATCAGACTTTCAAATTGTATATACATATATGTAGACTTTAGGACAACACATATAGAGATTATTAATTTATTTAGTGATACAAACAAAAATGTTGATGTATATTTTCGCCTCACTATTTCGATGAATTGTGAACGATAACAAGTAACAGTTTAATTCCAAGAAAAGTGCGGTGTTAAATATTAAACGACTACAAATATATATGCACAAAATAAGTTATATATATAATATAATATATAGATATTTCCATGCTCATTTAAATCATTAATTCACGACTCAGAAATTTTATTTTTAAACAATTCTTAATGTTTAACTGACTATATAATTAATATAATTATTTATTAACAAATTATAGTCACATGGGTTTCCTTGTGAAAACATTTGCCATAAAACAGACGATTAAAGATCATTATAAAATATAGACTGTTTTAATCGAGAACATATTTAACGTTCTTCTGACAAGAAGACTGATAACCCGTTATGTTTTTACTTAAAATTTTAACACAGATTTTGAACATAGAGTTTTGACACAGATGCAAAGAAAGAAAGAAACATGTATACGTATTTGATTTGTGTACCTAGAATTGGAAATAATAGGATAGCGACTCTATCGAACGAATGTCTGATGTAACATATCGAATTATACCGAGCATTTTTTTGTAATATCAGAATTTTTGTAAGAATAACGATCATATTTTCAGACTGCAATAAAATGTATGAGAAGCGCTTTCGGTAAATTAATACCGTATAATACTGGGCATTACAGTGAAACGATCTGTAAAATTTAATAATTTTTTCGTATTCTTTAATCGTTGAACGTGCTAGATTGTAGCTCGACGTGAATGAAAAATAACAATGAACTGCGTGACAAAATGTACGTAAATCGGAATTAGAAGATATAATTCGGAAAGTGGAAAAATCTTTCTTCGAATTTAATATTAATCGTATTACTGTATTTTCGCCTTAGAAAATCGCAATAAGCGAACATGTAGATTAGGTACAAATGTTTTAGATTGTCGTTGTTGCAGCACGAATGTTAATCGATGTTTTTACATGGATTATGGAGTCGCGATTTTGTTATCCCGCAACAATGTCACTGCAAAATTAAAGAAATCTGCGGGAATTTATCATAGGAAATTGAATTCTTAAAAATTTCTTCTTTCCTACTGGAGAGATTTTGCGTTCACGTATAAAAAACTATCTATCCATTTTCAACTTCTAGAAGTTAGGCGGAACGAGTCTCACAATGTCTGTATATAATTGAATTTGAATTGCACGGTAGATCTGATGTAGTGCGTATAACTTTGTAGAACAAATCAGGATGAATTATAAAACGTGAAATGAATTATGTGCTCGATAGAGATGTTCTACTATTTTTATATGATTATTTTAGGAACCCGTTGAGATTGTTTATAACTTTTAATTGCGTGTCGTAAAGAGTACGGCCGTTTATACATATACATGTACTGTTCATCTGATCCACTGAACTTCCATGTACGTTTAAATTACTCTGATTGACAGGAATTCTTCTCTAATGAATATGGTACAATTATACGTAGCGTTGTATTACATAACTTGCAGTTTCGACGAAAATAAAAATAACTGATTAGATAAATTAATTTAAACATATTCTATTGTCTTGTTATTGTGATAACTGTATAAAGTTTTCGTTTTACAATTTTATCTTACATATGTTATTTTATTTTATCTTTCTTTATTTTAGCTAAATAATGTTTGATAATTCGAATTATTCAGTTCTTGAGTTACCAAACACCAGATTCTGATGAAGTTTATTGATCTGCTTTTTTTAAAAAAAAAAAACCTACTTAAGTATACCTAAGTGCATGCATACGCGTTTCAAATGATTCATGCGCGAATATAAAGACTATGATAAAGATGATTGTAGAGAACATGTTCAAACCTTCAAAGCAATGCGAGCTGTCGTGAAGCCATTTTTGCTTTATCACGACCATGATAGACTACTTGATCTACTTGCATCATGATCATGACTATCATTACTCGTTCTCTTTGCGATAATTCGCTAAATCACACTACGAGGAGTCTTTAGATTTGAAAATTTTTAATACAATTGCGCAAAATGGTGAAGGCGAGGAAATTCGTGATGGTGAATAATTTCGTAAACGAAACGAAGCAAGCAGATTTAAAATTAAAGAAAGAATAGCCTGTCGCTGTGAAGAGTGAATGGAGGTAGGAAAAAATTACACAAATCATCATAAACATCATGCACGATAAGCGTATCGATGAGCGTGTTATCAGAAATACACGATGTGAATGATGTTATTGCAAGCACAATTATTTCATTGCTTGGATAGTAAACTCGAAGTACTCGAAGTAAAAATTTTTGCAAATATGTTTGCATGATCATCCTGCAACATCTGCCAATGCATTCGCTTAGTGTCTTGCGAAAAGAATGCATAAGATTTAAAAACGCGATAAAGAGCAATTATAAATAAATCAATAAATAAGTAAAGAAGCGCTAAATATAGCTAAGGATGGATCTTGGTGCTTAATAATATTTTTTTGTAAATTTTAAATACATTTTTCAGTTATGTGAAGTATTCGACAATTATACTGTCAGACTTGACACGCAATCGCATAACTGGTCTCGTGTAATTTATTACGAGTAAATATACTTCTTACTTCTTACAATGTTGATTTGCACTTCGATCTTTGTACAACTTAGATCAATCGTGAATCAGCACTAGCATAAAATAGAAATTTCAGCATGAAATGAAGTTTGAGATAAAAACGCTTCTTGTAAACTTCAACATTTTTCTGTTATATCAAATTCTGTTAAGAAACATCAACTATTAATTTCTAGTATTTTTACTACGTAAATATATGTATTATGAAGAGCAAGTAAATTAATTGACTTAATCGTCTACATATGATTGCAACAAGTGTTATGAAAAGTCTTAGGAATTGTAATGTATAATCGGAAATAACATTGGTTTTGAAAGATATAAAACATAGTTGAAATAATATGCAGCTTCTCCTTGCCAATCAATTCGTAATAAATCTATATATTTCTTGTATTTTGCAATAAAAATGTGAAAAAAATTTATTTATAGTAATGATTGATTTCAAAGCAAATTTTTTATATTACGTACACGCATTAAAATGTGTAGTTTATTGATTAAAAAACGTTTTATAAAACCTTTGTGATTTCCTTTTCTCTAAAAAGTTTTTACTACACACACACTTTTTTAAAATGACATATAATATAAAACTAACAATAAATTATTATTCTACTATATAAACTTGTTATACAGAATGTCCCAAACTTTTTGATACAACATTTACAAGTTAAACAGACTATAAAATCAGAAAGTTTTTGTATCATTTTGCAATTTTTACAAATAGTTAACAAGATATTAATTACTACTAAAGATCACTGAATAAGACATAACGCGTATAAATTTTGTAAAGCAATAAACCAGTGTGAATTATTATAAATATAGAATGGATTTTGTGTTCCATAAAGATACCTATATTAATTCTATTATTTTGATATGAATATTTTAAAGATCCGTCGAAATTATTTATAACTTTTAATTGCTTACCGAAGAACACGGTTTATATGCATATACACACTACGCAATAACATTTTTCATCGAAATTTTGCTATTTTTCAAATGCGCATAACTCGGTCAATTTTCATCGTATCGACGATTTTTTTTCATTTTGTAAGTAATTATCTGTACTTTAAGAAAAACTTGATGTGAAATTAGGTGCAAGTCGATGTCGCATCTCCATGTTTTGATAAAGCTCAAGCATTTTTTTTCTTAAAAAATTTGATTGACGCGCTACCTGGATCGCCCCGATTTTTTTTCGAAAATACCACATAAACCATTGTAAAGTGCACCCTTCAACAAACAATTTGAAAAAAAAATCGAGTCTACGATTTTTTTTGACCGAGTAATGCCATTTTGAAGTTATTCGGACATTTTTAACGAATACCGTCAGCATTAGCATTACCCGATACGTACCGCGAGGAGGTTGCTGATCGGACTTTACGCATCACTTTGATGCGGGTAATGCCCTGAAAAGGTCCGATTATGTAAACCATTTGTCAAATTAGGGACCCTGTGGCTCGTCATTTCCACAGTATTTTCTGACTCCAAATCCTATTTGCCTAATGCCAGCGCGGTCAAGTGTTAGAGGCATTCAATACCGTGTATTGCCACCTCGGCGTCGGATAATTTCTCCTAAACGTTCTTGCATATTAATGCATGATTGAATCTTGAGGTATCTCGTGCCAGATTTCATGTAGAGCTCTCTCAAGCTCTTGCAGATTAGCAGGAGGCTCTCCAAGTTACGTAATCTCCTACCCATCATATCCCATAGGGTGTGGTCCACTTGGCGCTACAAACGCTTCAAACGTTTTCACTTTCATATGGTTCTATAGAACGGTCCATTAGCATTACTAATGCTGCCAACAGTATGCAAATGGACCAATTTTTGAAGCGTTTTGAAGCGTTAGTACGTATTTTGCTATTACGGATAAAATGAAAGTCATGCTAACGTGAACTGTGAAGTTTTTTTTAGAATCGCTTACTTATATTTATGATGAAGATAATAGCATCCTCTTCGGAAACTTCTAGATTATGAATCATTCCAGTATCTCCTTCATGTAACCTTATAATCGGCATAGTTTATACAATTTTTATTTTTAATAATATAATATACACAATATACCATACAGCACGATTTGTAGTAATATATGTAGCACAATGCCACGATATAATATGTAAATTTAACAATCAGCTTTACAGATATACTTTCGTTCGATTATTATTATGCTTTCCCGCGTTTTGTATATTCAAACTAAACGCTTCAGTTAAACTACCTCTCCAAGCAGTAGCATTGGAAGCAATTGGAAATAAGGTGGAAGTAGAAACCTGTGATGTATTAATGACGTCATACGTGCTGTTGGGACACATTTGAAGCGCCATGTGGACCGGTTAAAACAACGCTCCAAACGGTTCAAAGCATTTGTAGCGCCAAGTGGACCGCACCCATACATGCTCAATAGGATTGAGGTCTGGGCTGTTAGATGGATGAGGCAGTAACTGTATATTGTTTACTGCCAAATACTCACGAGTTACCCTCGCAACAGGGAAGTGCATTATCCTGCATCAAGATGAAATCACGGCCTATAATTTGTCGACGCATTGGAATCACGCAAAACTTTGTTATGTAACGTACCGCTGTGAATCCTGGGGATTGGAGAATCACTAGATCTGTTCGATGGTTCATTGATATTCCACCCCATACCATAACGGATCCTCCACCGAACGCTCGAATTGGATCAACATGATTCGTTTCAAAACGCTCTCGTCTACGTCGCCAAATTCGGATCCTAGCATCATTCCCAAACAGACAAAATCGTGATTCATCTGTAAACAACACATTTCTCCACTGTCTGGCCGTCCAGTTTTGATGATTACGGGCGTAACGTAGACGAGTTCGCCAATGCACTGTTGTCATGGACACTCTAGCACGAATTCGTGATCTTGTACCTCTTTCGTGAAGGCGTCTTCTTATCGTTTGAGTACTAATTCGTCTGCTTGGTAAAGCTTCATTCCCGATTTGTCGCGCAACCCTTGTTGGGACACGCAGAGCTTCATTGACAATGCTGCGATCCTCCCGATTCGTAGTTACCCTAGGTCGACCTTGAGCAGGCCTCCGACGATAAGAATCTGTTTCTTGGTACCGAAAAACACGCGATACCGTCGAGCGATTAACACACATTTTAATTGCTACGGCGCTCTGACTCAATCCCGCCTCTAGCAGGGTCACAATTTGAACAGATTGAATTTTAGTAAGCCGAGGCATTTTTAGTAAGAAAATAAAATATCCTGTGCTTTTTTGTATTTTTTTATTAGTATTCACTCTGCATAATAAAATTAATGTTCAATACGGATCCTTCCCCATAATGAGATTTCAGCATTTGACTCTATCGCGATATTCGTTAAAAACACCCGAATAACTTCAAAATGACATTACTCGGTCAAAAAAAATCGTAGACTCGAATTTTTTTTCAAATTGTTGAAAAGTGCACTTTACAATGGTTTATGTGATATTTTGAAAAAAAATCGGGGCGATCCAGGTAGCGCGCCAAATAATGAAATTTTTTAAGAAAAAAAATGGTTGGGCTTTATCAAAACATGGAGATGTGGCATCGATTTGCACCTAATTTCGCATCAAATTCTTCTTAAAGTGCAGATAATTACCTACAAAATAAAAAAAAATCGTTTTGATACGATAAAAATTGACCGAGTTACGTGCATTTAAAAAATAGCAAAATTTCGATGAAAAATTTTGTTGCGATAATTTTGTTGCGTAGTGTGTATATATATATGGTAAATATGTGGATTAGGGGAGCCCCCCCCAATGACCTTGACCTTGACATATGTTGTCAAAGTCATGACCCCCCAGGTAGCAAACTACGTCATTTTGACGTCATTTTGACGTCAGCTTGCTACCAGGGCCGAGTGACCCTGAGGAAGTTTTAATTGCAGGACGTTACTCATTAAGAAGTTATAAACAAAAGAAGTTTACGAAATAACTTCTTTTTACTATAGGGGCTTACGACTCTCACCTCCGACTCTAACCCCTCCTACTGCAGAGTGCAGGGGCACACGATTCTCACCTTCGACTCTCACTCTCTCCTACCCCCTGCTTTAGGGGCGCCCGACTCTCCCCTTCGACTCTCACCCCCCCCTGCCCCCTGCTTCAGGGGCGCCCGACTCTCACCTTCGACTTTCACCCCTTCTACCCCCTGCTTCAAGGGCGCACAGCTCTTATCTTCGCGTGAAAAGTCGTTGCCTTCCTAAATAGAGAAGGAGACGGGATAAATCTCGTTTCGTGAGATCAGTACATTGATCTTGGGTTACAATGTATTTATATACGTTTGTTTTGATTTCTTCAGTCATTGTGAATAG